AGTTTAGGGTTTAGAATCAAGGTAGCCAGGATCTCTAGTGTTCAATGTTTGTAGCAACATGCCTACGCTGGGAGCCTCAAGACAAACAACAAGCCAAACCCCAACCACCAGCAAAAATTAAAAATTAAGTTCAAACTGGTAGCAGTTGGGTGAAAGGTGAAAGGTTCTTTCGGCAAAAAGTTGGATTCACCCCTCTTCGGTTAGGGTTTCATCTTCGGCAAAAAGTTCATGCTGGATTCACTCCTTAGGGTCTTTTTCGTCTTCGGTTATAGGTTCCTGCTGGGTTGGCTCCTTAGGGCCTTCGTCTTCGATGAAAGGTTTTTCTTAGATTCACCCCTTGGGGTTTCTACTTCGACAGAAGGTTCATGCTGCATTCGCTCCGTAGGGTTTTTGTCTTCGGCACCGGGTCCTGCTGGGTTCACTCCTTAGGGTCTTCGTCTTGGGTGAAAGGTTCTTCTTGGATTCACCCCTTAGGGTTTCATCTTCGGCAAAAAGTTCATGCTGGATTCACTCCTTAGGCTTTTTCGTCTTCGGTTATAGGTTCCTGCTGGGTTGGCTCCTTAGGGCCTTCGTCTTCGATGAAAGGTTTTTCTTAGATTCACCCCTTGGGATTTCTACTTCGACAGAAGGTTCATGCTGCATTCGCTCCGTAGGGTTTTTGTCTTCGGCACCGGGTCCTGCTGGGTTCACTCCTTAGGGTCTTCGTCTTGGGTGAAAGGTTCTTCTTGGATTCACCCCCTAGGGTTTCATCTTCGGCAAAAAGTTCATGCTGGATTCACTCCTTAGGGTTTTCGTCTTCGGTTATAGGTTCCTGCTGGGTTCACTCCTTAGGGCCTTCGTCTTCGATGAAAGGTTCTTCTTAAATTCACCCTTGGGGTTTCTACTTCGGCAGAAGGTTCATGCTGGATTCGCTCCGTGGGATTTTTGTCTTCGGCACTGGGTCCTGCTGGGTTCACTCCTTAGGGTCTTCGTCTTGGGTGACAGGTTCTTCTTGGATTCACCCCTTAGGGTTTCATCTTCGGCAAAAAGTTCATGCTGGGTTCACTCCTTAGGGCTTTCGTCTTCGGTTATAGTTTCCTGCTGGGTTCACTCCTTAGGGCCTTCGTCTTCGATGAAAGGTTCTTCTTAGATTCACCCCTTGGGGTTTCTACTTCGGCAGAAGGTTCATGCTGGATTCGCTCCGTAGGATTTTTGTCTTCGGCGCTGGGTCCTGCTGGGTTCACTCCTTAGGGTCTTCGTCTTGGATGAAAGGTTCTTCTTGGATTCACCCCTTAGGGTTTCATCTTCGGCAAAAAGTTCATGCTGGGTTCACTCCTTAGGGCTTTCGTCTTCGGTTATAGTTTCCTGCTGGGTTCACTCCTTAGGGCCTTCGTCTTCGATGAAAGGTTCTTCTTAGATTCACCCCTTGGGGTTTCTACTTCGGCAGAAGGTTCATGCTGGATTCCCTCCGTAGGATTTTTGTCTTCGGCACCGGGTCCTGCTGGGTTCACTCCTTAGGGTCTTCGTCTTGGGTGAAAGGTTCTTCTTGGATTCACCCCTTAGGGTTTCATCTTCGGCAAAAAGTTCATGCTGGATTCACTCCTTAGGGTTTTCGTCTTCGGTTATAGGTTCCTGCTGGGTTCACTCCTTAGGGCCTTCGTCTTCGATGAAAGGTTCTTCTTAGATTCACCCCTTGGGGTTTCTACTTCGGCAGAAGGTTCATGCTGGATTCGCTCCGTAGGATTTTTGTCTTCGGCGCTGGGTCCTGCTGGGTTCACTCCTTAGGGTCTTCGTCTTGGGTGAAAAGTTCTTCTTGGATTCACCCCTTAGGGTTTCATCTTCGGCAAAAAGTTCATGCTGGATTCACTCCTTAGGCTTTTTCGTCTTCGGTTATAGGTTCCTGCTGGGTTGACTCCTTAGGGCCTTCGTCTTCGATGAAAGGTTTTTCTTAGATTCACCCCTTGGGGTTTCTACTTCGACAGAAGGTTCATGCTGTATTCGCTCCGTAGGGTTTTTGTCTTCGGCACCGGGTCCTGCTGGGTTCACTCCTTAGGGTCTTCGTCTTGGGTGAAAGGTTCTTCTTGGATTCACCCCTTAGGGTTTCATCTTCGGCAAAAAGTTCATGCTGGATTCACTCCTTAGGGTTTTCGTCTTCGGTTATAGGTTCCTGCTGGGTTCACTCCTTGGGGCCTTCGTCTTCGATGAAAGGTTCTTCTTAGATTCACCCCTTGGGGTTTCTACTTCGGCAAAAGGTTCATGCTGGATTCCCTCCGTAGGATTTTTGTCTTCGGCGCTGGGTCCTGCTGGGTTCACTCCTTAAGGTCTTCGTCTTGGATGAAAGGTTCTTCTTGGATTCGCCCCTTAGAGTAGAAGCCAGAAAGTTGGAACATTAGACTCCTCATGCCTTTAAGGCAAAATATAAGGGATCCTAGCACTAATCCTCCTAAAGCCATGTTCCAACTCTCTGGCTTCTACTGTAGGGTTTCATCTTCGGCAAAAAGTTCATGCTGGATTCGCTCCTTAGGGTTTTCGTCTTCGGTTATAGGTTCCTGCTGGGTTCACTCCTTGGGGCCTTCGTCTTCGATGAAAGGTTCTTCTTATATTCAACCCTTGGGGTTTCTACTTCGGCAGAAGGTTCATGCTGTATTCGCTCGGTAGGGTTTTTGTCTTCGGCACTGGGTCCTGGTGGGTTCACTCCTTAGGGTCTTCGTCTTGGATGAAAGGTTCTTCTTGGATTCACCCCTTAGGGTTTCATCTTCGGCAAAAAGTTCATGCTGGATTCACTCCTTAGGGTTCTCGTCTTCGGTAATAGGTTCCTGCTAGGTTTACTCCTCAAGGTTTATTCTTATATATTATATATTATGTATCATATATTATATATTGTATTTTGCATATTGTATTTTGTATGTTTTATGTTGTACATTTTGTATTACATGTTACATATTATACATTGTATATGATACATGATATAGTATATATTACGTATTTCATAGAATACATTACATACTAGATATTAGATATTGCCTGTAGTGTGTTATTTTCTGTAGATATTATATATTATATTATATAATATATATACTTTGTGTTATATACTCATTCTATATTGGAAGCGAGCATCTTGTTGTGCGAAAAATGCACCCGCGTAGGGAAAGAACACTACTGCGAAAGTGCACCGCGCCTAGGAAAAACTGCATTTTCAGCGAAAAAATGCACCACGCCGAGGGAAAACCAAGATTTCTCAAATATTAGCACCGCGCCTAGGAAATATTGCAGATTCGGGCAAACTGACTACAGTCATTTGTGACTCCCTGTTTTCCGTTTCAAAGATCAAAACAATCGGGTGCATGTGCTGGCATGTACCAAAGCCCTGCAATGGTCTCCATTTTCATCCGTTGAACCACCTGTCATTTATGACTCCTTGGTCGGCTTTTGGACAACAAGGTTCGTGAAGACAAACGTTCAAAAACATCAAAAGAGCCTAGGGAGTCACAAATGACAGGAGTGCCCTATGATCAACATCGTGAAACACGGAGTGTCTAAGCAGGCTTGTCAGATCAGCTCAGAACACGACGAGCAGGTTTACCAAGTCGTGATGCTTGTAGCATCTAGACATAGGGATGAGTCTCTCCAGCCTTCCACTCGTGCTGATTTTGACAGCATACCCTCGCTTTCGCAGAAAGTGAGTCCACCACTTCAGCCCAGTGGGGCACCCTCACCTCTCTCCGTTGCTCCATGCTTTTGTGTCACTGCAGCATTTGCTTACATGCCAACCGGGAGCATTCGTGAGCAAATGCCGAATGCTGGCGGCTTACTGGAATCCTTCCGTCCGTCTTTGCTACAAGGTCTGCCGTATCTTTGTCCTGCGACACAGAAACTGGCAGGAGTGCCCAAAACTGACAGGGCTGCCCACATTCATCACGGCCTAGCATCAAAAAACATTCTCTCTTCTCCTCGCCAGAAATTGCCTCAACAGTAATATCATGTTTGAGCATGGTACCCAGCAAAGGGAACCTCCAGCTGTCTGGAAATGTAGTACTGCAGCATGCCATGCAATGCTCAAGGGTTTGCGGCTGTTTCATATGCCACGGTTAGTCTATTGGTTGTTCAAGGCATCGTGACTGGAAAAACCTAAAGTCTAAAGGCAAAGCAAGGGCTAAAGCCAGCGCTAAGTCGTAGCTTCGACATCTACCCTCATGTAACCGCAAGATTTCTTGAGTGGCTGAGTCCTCGCTTTAGGCTTGTCTCCCAATGTAAACACATGCATGCAGGCCGACCGCGGGTGCATGCTCATTGCAGCTCGTGGCCGTCTTCCCCTGCTGCCACGACTGCTGCTGCTAGCTTAGTATTTTCATATTAGTTTTTTTGAAGCAATGGACCTTTCATATTCGTACTATTTGTGTTTTTATTGCTACTACTTATACTTCTACTACACTGCCACTACTGCACTACCACCACCACCACCTCCACCACCACCACGACGACGACTACTACTACACTACCGCTACTACACTACCACCACCACCACCACCACCACCACCACCACCACCACCACCATCACTACTACTTTGGCTACTACCACCACAACAACAACAACTACTACAACTACTACTACTACTACTGGAAATACTACTGGTGCTACTACTGGTACTACTACTGGTACTACTACTGGTACTACTACTGGTACTACTACTGGTACTACTACTACTACTACCACTGCTACCACGACTACCACGACTACCACGACTACTACTAACTACTACGACTGCCGCTGCTGCTACCGCTACCACTACCATTATCACTACTACGTACTAGTACTCGTTGTGGGCATAGTAGTAGTCGTGGTTAGCTGGTGCTACTTTTTACCTACTACGACCAGGACCCTGCTACTACCGGCTTTAACCTCTTGAAGTTTGCTTCCCGCGACATGCCAAACACCAGGTCAAAGCATGAAGCAAGCACACGTCCAGGCATCAGTGACACGATAGTTTTGTTTTTGTGACAAGCTAAACTGCCATGTAAACTCATGAAATCCTACGTCTCCTACGAAAGCAATGACTCAAGTAAATGTCTGTGGTCCTGTATCGCACCTCACTACGATGTTGGCCAGTCCCACTTAAAAAAACAATGCAGTTTGAGGCCGAGAAGCACAGCTCCACGGTCTTGTACATGAAATGACGCAGGGTGATGATGGCCAGGGCGACGCCAAGGCTTGCAGCGAGTGAACTGCCACGTGACATCCTGGATGGCGAGGGCACGCAGGACTCGCAACTCTGACACCAACCAGTTCAATTCAGACTGGCGGAGGAAGACATTTGGATCGGGAGAAGTAGCAAAGACTATGGAGCTCTGTCTGGGCTTTGGGAGCCTTATAATTATACAAGGAAACGAATAAATAGAACCATAGATAGAGTTTCAACATAAAAATGAGTATACACATAAATACAAATACAAACGTGCGAGCACAAACATAAACTAACAAATAAGCGACTACAGTCATTAACCAGGTACATACGTGAATATATATATCTATATATATATATATGTATGCACACGCACATCATGCATTGTAGCCTTTGTTTTCTTGTTGTTGGCTGGCTGTGCCGCTGCCGTTTTCCCTGGTCTCTGGCTTTATTTTGTTCTTCTTCGCTTTTGCTTTATTCTTCTGGCTTCTGTGTTTTTGTTGTATTTATTACGCTTCTTTCTGTGTTGCTCGGCGCTTGCAGTCTGCTGCGTTCTCTGTGCTGTTCGATTTTTTGCTCATGAGCGCGAAGTTTCGGGATTGGGGGTCCCCATTCATCAAGCGTTCATTTCCGTCGGGCCCGACATTCCTACGTCTTGGTTTGCAGCAAAGCCAAGCCGATCAGCAGCAGCCAAGGCCCTGAAATGCCTTGTGAAGCCTTGGTGGGTGGAGCACGACTCACGGAAATTCGTAAAGACGAAGCATGGGATTTTTCAGCTAAATTTGCGGCATCCAATCGCGGACGGCACGGGACATCCAAGATGTGCACCGCGTCGCAGCGGGAGCTGCAGAACAGCCAAATAAGTCAACAACAACAACAACAAAGAAGCCACGTTAATTTGCCATCCTTCCTCCTGACCTACTGCGAAGTTGATGTCTGACCCGCAGAGACCTACTACAAAGCTTGAGTATAAGGCTGAGGTTGTCGAGGGGGTTGCTGAAGATCCCGGTGGAATTCGCTGCAACGAACTGGCGCAAGTGATTAAGCTATAAATCACAAGGTATAGCAAAGGATAGCGTAGGCGCAGGCTCCCCTTTGTATCTGCGGTCGCCAGAACTTCCCTGCTTAGCAGCATCTTGAGCCTTGTACGCAAGATTGCAGCTACTTGAATACTTGATGCAGCCAGGGACGGTGCCGCATAAACCACATAGATGCTGTTCCTGGGCCGTGTGGGCTCTTAGGAAAGCTTCATGCAGACCTGCATGTCACAGCCAGTGGCCCGTATGACTTGCGTGTCGGTGTTGCACCTACAGTGAGTGGATGCACCGGCCTTAACATACCAATACATCCAAAGCACAAAGCTTGATTTCTCAACCTGAAAACCTGGAGCACATGCTCTTAGGTTCTTAGAGCCTACGACGTGCCGTGAAGCCTGCTGGGGTCACTGTGCCTAAGCCGAGCTTCGGGAGGTATGCGATCAGAGCCCACCACCCAGATCGGACCCACAGAGACGCAACTGTGCGCAAGACGACAGTCCTTGGCTCGTTACTAGTGCTCTCGCCACAATGCATCCTCCTACTTCAGTTGCCAAAACTTACATATATGCTTACCGGCCTGCTTCGAATTCAGGGCGAGAGGAGGCAGTTGAACATGACTAACAATTATCTCCGCGATGACAGGGCGAATGCTATCTTGGCTGGGCTCAGTACCACAACTTGGGTGGTATCACTTGGCTGCGCCAACAGCATAGACACGATGCTGAGTAATTGCAGCAGCCAGAATAAAATGTCCATTGCTATCCGTGTCTGAAAGCACGGGAAGGTCGAGACCATCAGCAGAACTGCGAAAGAGGCGAGCAGTGGCAAATCGACGGATGGGTGACGTCGGCCCTTACCTTGAAAATACCATACCTGCACTGCGATGATGCGGTACATGCCACAAACCAGGATGGATCTGCTGAAATACAGGAGCAGCCTTCGCTGCAACGAATCCCAGGCTTCGGCAATCGGCTTGCTGGTCGGACCAGCCAGATGTCCCAGGCTCGTCTTCACCCAAATGCAACCTCGCTTGCAACCGCGCCATACCTCTCGCATCACTGGATTCCTTTCTCCACCCTGGCATGGGCTCCGGTACAGGTTCTGGAGCAAGAACACGAAGAGCTTCCTCGGTGATTGAGGTCGACAACTGGATTAGACTCGACAGTCATGTGGGAGCCGGTGATCATAGTTTGATTGTGTCAGCTCTGAAGTCTGACTGCTGCCGGCTTCTTGGGCCGGACCATTTTTGTCACTCGCACTTGGCGGATCAGGCGAGGTTTCAGTACGACTAGTCTTTACCAGAAAAACTCACTGGTGTGTCCAAAACATCATTAACCGCACATCGGGACCACACAAACCCCTGGTCTTGCTGCCGGACGTTAGCCCCCCCTCCTGAATGGCGGAGTCTTTGCCAAAAACAAATGAAACCAAATTACATGCAACCTAGGCGCAGAACTAAAAGTGTTTCCAGCACGACACATGCGCACACAATGAGCTCGCCCTCAACCTGCTGAAACGCCTTCAACAGTTCCTGGCATGGAATTTGGAGGCAAGTTTATTTGCAAGAAAACAGTCTGTTTCGTTCAGACTGCAAGCTTCATTTCTTGGCTGATGTAACATGTTGACTCTTCGTCGGACTGCCAACGTAGTACTTTTACTGCATGACAATGAGCAACTTTGCGAGGGATCCACGGGCACAAGCTTTGACAACTGCAGATTCTCAGGGCCGGACCATGGCAACTCAAGCTTGTACTCCATTCGTATGGCTTACCACATTTGCTTCGACCAGTGTGGATCTGCTTAGTGTGTTTTGTTCCCGTTTCCAGGTGTCAATTTGTCGAAGCATCGGTGTGGTGAGAGCTTTCAATCCTCGCAAAGTCACAACAGTCTGGGCCAAAGCTAGAAGTGCGGATCGGGCGAGCACGACTCGCAATGCAGTCGAAAAGACACTTGTGGGCTAGGAAGCACTTGCACGCATCCGCACATTGCGAGCTTGGACTTGTTACAATGTAGAGGCAGAAAGACTGGACCTCAAGGTCTCAATCCTGTCAGCACTAAGCTACAGACTTTCCCGAGCCGAGATTGTACGGCACCTGCATTGCGTGTTTGCAAAGGCTAGAGCGCAATCATGAGCGGGCGAAGTTTTGTGCAGTCAATCCGGAGCAAACGGTACGCCCTATTATGTACCTACGGAATTCAATTTGATGCCCAGCACGAAATCAGCATGTGGCGCGATCAGATGCGATTGGGATCCTCTGAGTGACCTCTCTACTACCAACCCAGCATTCCAAGACCAACAGGGGCTCTCTGCAGTGGGATCGCTGCACACACTGTCATAAAGTTTGTCCAGCCTGGCGCAGCTCTTCAAGCGTTCGTCCATCCTCGAGAAACTCCAAAGCACTTTCGGCTCTTCCGCAGAGTTCCAGTTGTGGGATGCCGGCCTCTGCCTCTGCCCGGATGGAGATCTCCACCTGGAACTGACACAGAAGTGCACGGTCATACAGCCTGCTGAACCTGTCAGATGCGCTTGCCTCGCAGTCCTCCATGAGGCAGCCCCAACCTTCGCCTTCGCGGATCACAGTCCTGCATCCCACACAGCCACAAAGCTGCAGCCTGCATGAGCTCCCCTCAAAGACGAACTTCATTCTCTGAATTTCTGAATCATTGAGCCATCTTGGACCACTTGCTCAAGACGGCCTCATGCAGGCCCAGTCGCCGAAGAGGTTGTCCTGGCCACGGGTGACTGTGCCTGTAGTGCTTAGATTCCATTCAACATGAATGTGTTCGGCTCAAGCTGCAAGGCGGAAGCTTTTCTCCGCGTCAACGGGCCACGGCAGCGCCGCAGCACAACCTCCTGCAGCGGAGCGCCGGAGCGGTCGCGTTACAAGTTGCATATATTTTTCGTCGCAAGGAACTCTCGACTGACCTACGCCTGCGCAGACAAGCTCTGGCTTGGGCTCCTCGGGGCCGGCAGTGGACGAAGTGCACAAACGGTGCTTGTTCGCAGATCCAAGGCATCGTGGTGGTCGCAATCTTGTCGGTTGCCATCGAAGCCTCCAAACTATTCCGAACTGACCACAGACCCTCACAACAGGGGTGCAAGAAATCTCAAGAATCCTCCGTCCTCCGAGCAAATGGATGCTGTGCCCGACGACGCAAAGGGCAGCACCAGCTCGGGCAAGTGTGACGGAGAGAGGCGAGGTCCACTCCCTGGCCTGCACGCCGAAGGTAAAGTATGCTGCATTCTGACCATTTCAGGAGATTCAGAGAATCTCCCGGCTCCCTTTGAAGCCTCTAAGTCGAAGCGGTCAACAACTGGGATTGTGAGCCCGCTCCCGCCGAGTCCGCCAACTACCTGAGATCGTAAGGACCACAGCCTATCCCAAGCTCCGATGATGGCACAAGGATGCGAACTCTGTCTTGACGGATCCACTACGCCATGGGACAAGCAAGGTTCCTGCAACCACTGCAGCACTGCAGCCGCTCCTTGCAGATGGCAGTGCCTTAGATGGATGGCCGATCACAGTAACTTCTCCAGTGGAGTCCTCCTTCTCTCTCTGAGGAGTGCAGTGATGCAAATGTGATGAAAAGCAGAGTGAAGGCGGAATGCGTGGAAGGAGGACGGGAGAGACGGGTTGAAGGGACCTGACAAACGACCTAAGCGGTATCCAAGATACTGCCAAGCACTCCCAGCTCTCTGTAGGCACCGACAGCATCTCGACCTTAACAGAACACGACAACGGCACCTCACCGAACTCACGGAGCATGGGATGTTGCTCCCAACCTGTGAAAAGTGAACCATGTGAGACAGCACCTGCTCTGCTACTTTTCGATTTGATTTCCATTGCCTTTGTGATCCATTTGCTCAACAGCCTGGAAGAGGAGGCGATGGGCGATGGGCAAGAGACTCACTTGTCAGAATGCCTTGTCCAAGACCGTCCCATCTGCAAGCTGGCCACCGCAAACAATCACCTGGCAAGAGATTTCGCAAAACTTGCTCTCCCAAGGTTTTTCGGTACATGTAATGATAACTTCCCAGCCAATATGAAACAGCACTTGCTTCTTTTCAAATTCCCTCCTTGCCGGCCGCTTCCAAAGAATCCACCCTCTCTAGAGGTCTCGGCACCCGGTCGGCAAAGCCGGCAGCAGCGCACCCACATCGAGGTGTCGGCATCGGTGGATATCTGGCGGGGTCTTGAAACATCTTCGACCCCTGAAAGATCCCCCAAAACTGCAAAGCACGGGTTGACTGCCTGTAAGGCTCAGTTTGCCCCGAATCTTCCACTGGCCTCTGCCATTTGCGGCTATCCGGATCGTAGCCCTCAGCCACATCCTGCATCTGTTGCAGACAGGTGGTTCTGTCAGGTCTCCAGTGTCAAGCCTGATGCTATGAAGCTGTTGGTGCCGGGGCCATGTTTTGTCAGGCATGTCAAGCGGCGCACCCTTCAAAATAAAGGAACGTTGCAGGTTTTTGCAAGAGCATCTTCAGTAAGTCATGGAAGGCGCCCTCGACGCCGCACTTCTTGGTCTTGGGCCCTATTGCTGCCGCTGTGGATTTGGCCTTCGCCGCCAAGACTCGCTTTACAGCTCGGGGCTAGCGGGCCTGCTTTGTCTTGCGTCTTCAGTTGGCTCTGCGTTGACTCGTTCTGCGAACCGCTAAGTTGCTGGAAGCTCCAATGTCCAACGCCTTCTTCTTTCAAGCAGAAATACCAATTGCAACTGTCGGCGTTGGATTCCGTCAGGGCACTGCATCGAAAGTCATGAGACAGGGGCCGGCTTGTACCACGGTACCCCGGCAGGCTCAAGCACCGAACCTTCAAACCCGTACCTGCCGTACTTGTGCTCCAGATTTCCTTTCGATGCCAAAAGCCTTCGTCTGCTACCTTTTCAAGCAAGTGTAATAAAGCAAAACAGTCACACAACGTAACTTCTGCCCAGATGCCAGGACCTGCCAGGCCATGACAAGGCCGCCGCAAACCTCGAAGAAATGCTAGCTGCTAGCTGCGAGGAGCGGGGAGAAGTCAGGGAAGGGCCAGGGAAGGGAAACCCATGCAAACAGCCAGCGCATACTATCTCCGCACATCTACATGCTCAGGCCGCAGGCAGCTGTTCAACGTGAAACCAGGCTTATTTCTTGAGCTGTAGTCACACATCCGAAGCCTTTTGGAAACAAGTTGCCAGGAGGCGCTTGGCAGCGGCAGCGGCGCAGCACCCGGCCCTAGGCCTGGCCATTGCATTCATCACACGGTTTCCAGGACTAGAGGACAGCCCGCCAAGGGACGTTGGAAGAGGCGGCAGCCGCTCCCAGTCGCCAGTGACCTGAGAGAAGGTCATAAAAAGCTTTGATGGGCGTGCGCCTAGGGCTGAATTGAAAGGGGCCTGGGGGAATGACGAGCGTTCCTTGCGTAAGATCGTTTCTCTGCCGCAATTCCTGGAAATCCGATGATCCAAAAAGCCAGGGCCATCACGGGGTCGAAGCACTCGGCAGCCGCGAAAGCTGCACGTTGGTCCTCGGGAGTGGTAAACCTATGTCCACTTGGCTTTACATGAGATAGTGACGACTCTTCTTGCTTGGATATGTCTGTACCATGGCTGCGATGTTCTGCACATGTAAGCCCACGATGCATATGTGCAAGCACAGCCCCAGAAGCTTTACAGCTCAACGATCGCAGACTGATTGGGCCAAATGGCTCTCTCGCCACCGAAGACGAAGAGTTTGCCACCCAGGGCTGTCCGGATTCTTAGTTTAGTTTATGGCCTGTGGACACACCCATCTGCGACTCGCTTCTTAGGCTTCCGAAATTTGCGCTGCCATCCACGACATCTCGCTTCTTCGTTGGCCTGCGGCGCAGCAGAAGCTCCTCGCTGTGGGCATGGGCGGCAGGGATTCCCAGGTGCTGGAGTCCTGATGTCTGGTACAGCCCGGAGAAAGGATAAGTGTGGCCCACTGCAGCCACGCCACCCAGTCGAAGCGCTCGACCGAGGCGAGAGTTTGACGACTGGTTTGGCCACCGAAAACCTGAAAAGTGATTTTGCAGTCCAACTTCGTGTAAATTCAATCACGGTCTCTAACAGTTATGCTGTTAACGGCTTCGCAAGCAGGGCCGACACGTCGGCCATTGATAGCCTAGGCTGAGAGCTCGAATTGAGGCACACGTAGGTCACCTCGTGAGTTGCTCTTGTAAGATCAGCCTCCGCCTGCCCAACGAAAGTGCTTCTGCTACTGCATTCTCCAGGCTGGACGCGTCAAACATGCAAAGCTTCTAAAAGCCATACTCATCTATGTCTGTGTGTTGCAGATGCAACTGCGGCCGACTTTTCCACTGACATCGAGAAACGTAGAGCTCAGGCCGGGCATCCTCGGACTGCAAAAAGCATCGGGGCATCGAAGCGACTCAGACTCGGCACCACAACGTTCCTCTCCTGACGCAGCAGCGCGAGCGAGCTGCGCAAGTTGGCCCCGTGAAACCGCGATCTCGGAGGGACGAGATAATTAATCGAGAGAAAGGCAATCTCCAACTAGCAACAGCGCAGCTAGCACAGAAGCGTCGACATTGGCCGGGGAACAAGCGCTTAAGATGTTTGTGCTGTCAAGCTCTGTGTCAGTTTCGAAAAAAGAAGCTTCTCTGGGGCGTGGTCAAGAATGGACATGTGAGGGAGACTTGCGGAACTTAATGTCACCGGAGGCACACGGCACAAAGTCGACTGGACATCTCGAGCCCGGCGAAGCGTCCA